AATGAAGATGTGAACCAGAATGTGAAAATGAGCTGGGATAGCACTGAACCCCAGCAGAAGGATGATCAAGAGCAAGTCCTGGTGTTCAGGGGAGAACCATCTGAAGCTCAGGATGGTGGTGAGGCAAAATGAGGAGGGATCCAAACTGAAAGTCCATAGACCCAATCTCTCAAGTTTCCTGGTCTAAGCCAGATTTAAATCTGCTAGGACAGAAGTTAGAAACCCTCCAGAAGCCCAGTAGAACTCACGAGTGTGGTTCAAATTGACTGCCAACAATAAAAAATCAGGTCCTCCATGAAAATTTAAATTTCTGACTTCTCCTGAAAAACAAAAGTCTTGCAAACATTAGCTAGAGCTGGGTTTCTGCCACCCCTGTAGACTGAGCATGTTCTCCCCACCACTCCCACTTATTTTCATGATTTGCCTGGCCCCCCCTAAACATCTGAGTTTGTGACCCTTAGGCTGGAATAATTCTAGACTCCTGATGGGTGGGACTTTTTGGGAACAGAGCCAGACTTTGCCCTTCATACTTTCTTACAATGAACAAGTATTCCATGCATAAGAAGCAAAAATAAATAAAAGAAAAGCTCTAACTTGAAATTTAATAACAAATGCAAATTTGTAATTAATTTATTAATAGCTGAATGACTTTTTTAAAAGAGTGAAGCATGGCATATAATATAAATTAAATAAAATTAATTTAGTTAATAAATTATTTTAGTTTATTAAAGTAGTTTAGAATACAATATAATCTACCACTAACCCATGATGAAAGAAGAGTCCACTAAAATTGTCATTTAGCCACAACTGGGTCAATAATTAAAAATTATTTTGAATAATTATTCAATTATTATTATTGTGATTTATAATAAGAAATATATATTTAGTCTTCATCCCAGTTCCTGGCACAGAGTTCCTAAAACCCTTGAAATTTCCTAAATGATGAGCAATAAAGGTGTCTTTTGTTATGTTAGTGAGGTGACTTTTCAGAAGCCCCTAGGTAACCTAAAGATGGGGGCTGATTGCCAGGGGAACCAACCTTGCAATTCCAAGGTTGGACCTCACAGTCCCAACCCCTAATCTCCAGGGACAGAAGAAGGGCAAGAGGCTGAATCAATAGCCAATGGCTAATGATGTAATCAACCATGCCTATGTAATGAAGCCCCCATGAAAACCTAAAAGGTTGGGGTTTGAAGACCTTCGGAGTTGGAGAACATGTCGAAGGAGATGCAGGGGGAATCGGAGAACACGGTAGCTCCTCACCCTTTCCCCCATACTTTGCCGTGTGCATCTCTTCCACCTAGCTGTTCCTGAGTTACACCCTTTTATAACAAACCAGTAATCTAGTAAGTAAAATGTTTGAGTTCCTTGAGCCGCTCTAGCAAATTAATCAAACCCAATGGGGGGGGCAGATCATTGGAACCTCCAATCTATATCCAGTTAGAATCACAGGTGACAACCTGGATTTGCAACTGATATCTGACATGAGGTGGGGGTGGGGGACAGCCTTATAGGACTGAGCTCTTAGCTTATAGGATCTGATGCTATCTCCAGGTAGATAATATCAGAATTGAGTTAAATTATGGGACATCCAGCTGGTGTCCTAGGGAATTGCTTTGTGGTATGAGGGGAAAAGATCTCACACATTCGAATTGGGTGCAGAAACATAATTATTAAAAGATTACTCTAAAAATTGGATTATTAAAAATTATTCAAAAATGTTAAAGTATTTGATATTGTCTCACATTTCACATCCCTTTTTATATATAAATTTTAAAAACAAACAGCACTATCAAGCACTCTGGGGTCTTGTCTACCACTGACCTAAGAGCATTTGACTGCTACGTCACATACAATGTATCTAAAGTTGAAGGTCCCCCACACTAACCTCAAGGAAAACAGAAATCTACTGTTTGCTGAACCCGAGGCCCCTTGCTTTTCTTCCTTTCCTCATATTCCTCGGAAACAAAACTTGAACAGCACGCTTTGCTGAATTAAAGTTGAGACAAATGAATGATGAGACCTGGATGGTAGTTACTGAGAACTGCCAAACACCAGGCTAAGATTTCACTCCTGTAAAAGCCCCACTCCCTTCTAACACCAGAGACTGGTTGCGATACCCGGGAAAGAATTGCCCATTGTCATCTTGTCTTTGAGGCTCCAGTGGCTCACCTGTTCCCAGTAGGGAGGGAGCAGCTGTGCGTGCAGGTGCCTTTGCTCCATTGTAGTCATGTCAATCTCGGAGCCCCATGAGTGCCCTTCTCTTGGCATGTTTTCTCCTTGGCTTATTAGAATTCATATGCTGGCACAACATCTTCATAAATACCCTACATTTTATATTTGGGAAGAATAGGTGACTTCCAATACTTAGTGCAAGTCATTTTTATCAGACACTTTTTTTAAAAAAAACATTTTATTTATTTATTTGAGAAAGAGAGAGTGAGAGAAAGCACGAGAGCGGGGTGAAGGGCAGAGGGAGAAGCAGACTCCCTACTGAGCAGGGAGCCCGATACGGGGCTCAATCCTGGGACTCCAGGAACATGACCTGAGCTGAAGGCAGATGCCTAACTGAATGAGCCACCCAGGCGCCCCTATCAGGCACTTTTTGATGTGTGTGTGGGGGGGGAAGGTTGTTCAAACAGATCCACAATCCATTATCTGAGACTCCTGGGATCATTGTTTTTTGGAATTCATAATTTTTCTGATTTTAGAAAGTGTTATATAATGCATATACTGTGAGCATAATACTCTAGAGGGGTGCTTGGTCATCCTCATAGTCATACAAATTAATGTATTTACAGTACCGTGCATGGATATGTGCATGATATGTGCATTCAGTGAAATATATAAGAATTATAAAAACCTTATATCAATTAATGTCTATGTGTTTGCACCAAATTTACAAAAAAGTTCTGGATTTCAGAACTTTGGGGGTTTTAGAATGGCAGATAAAGGATTTTGGTCCTATATTATATAACTAAGTCTTGACAGAATTTCTCTAGCATAAAAGCAAGAGCAAAGGGGTTGAACTAAAAAGGGTGTTCTCTTTATATTGCTGACACTGTCCAAAACGTGAGTAAGGAAAGGGGGTCACAACACCGAGAGACAGATGCCCTGAGCACTGTCTTTACCCTGGATGGTCCAGGGCTCAGGGCAAGCACCAGAGACTGCATGAAGCCTCAAATGGAGGACATACAGCTAGGATCAAGACAAAAAGTAGAACGGGGAGTTCAGAGTTGAACCAGGACAGGAAGTCAAGCAGGGTGTCCAAAGTGGACCAGCCTCATTGGCATCACCTGGGAGTCGCTAAGACATGCAGGACCTTGGACCCCACCCAGGCCTCCTGAATTTGAAGCAAAGTCGGGATCCCAGGTGATCTGTGTGAACCTTAAATGTTTGAGAAGCACACACACAAAAAATTCCATAAAGGTTTTAAGGACATGTCTCAAGAAAAGCTGCCTGGAGGCTAGTAAGAGCAGAAAGAAAAAGCATTAGTCTCACATGCTGTTTCTAAGACTAGACTCCCTACTTACCATTCAATAAAGAAAGAGAATTTCATTTAAAATTCTAGGTTTCAAGGCACCTGGGCAGCTCAGATGGTTGAGTGTCTGCCTTCGGCTCAGGTCATGATCCCAGGGTCCTGGGATCGAGCCCCGGATCGGGCTCCCTGCTCAGCGGGGAGTCTGCTTCTCCCTCTCCCACTCCCTCTGTGCTCGTTCTCTCTCTTTCAAATGAATAAATAAAATCTTTATTAAAAAATAACATAGGGGCACCTGGGTGGCTCAGTTTTAAGCGCCTGCCTTTGGCTCAGGTCATGATCCCAGGGTCCTGGGATTGAGCCCCGCGTAGGGCTCCCTGCTCAGCGGGAAGCCTGCTTCTCCCTCTCCCACTCCCCCTGCTTGTGTTCCCTCTCTCTCTGTCTCTCTGTCAAATAAATAAATAAAATCTTTAAAAACTAAAATAAGAAAAGAAAAGAAAAGAAAATTCTGTGTTTCAATGGGGCTCAGCATAGCAGAGCTTTCCAGAGGGAGCACCCACCACCGGCCGCCCTTCATCCCAGCTACAGAAGATGCCCGGCCTTCACTGGTTTTATGATTATGGCTTCCATTTAAGTCTAAAGAAACGGTTCTGTGACTTTTAAAAGTCTGGGCATTCTCCAGAGCATTAAACAGATAAGTTAAAAGACAGTTTATAAGGTAGCTAAAGCAATTTACAAGGCAAATAAAATTAGAACAAAAAGAAAAAGAATCAAAGAGGTGACAAAAGAAAACAAAACAGAAGTTAAAGTCGGTTACAAGAGTATATTCAGTTCATAAAAATGCATTGAGGGGTGCCTGGGTGGTGAAGTCAGTTAAAGGTCTGACTCTTGGTTTTGGCTCAGGTCATGATGTCAGGGTGCTGAGATCGAGCCCCGCCTCAGGCTCCGCGCTCAGCGGGGAGCCTGCTGGAAATTCTCTCCCTTTGCCCCTCACCCACCCCCTCTCTTCCTCTAAAATAATAAATAAATAAATCTTTTTTAAAAAGTACGTTGAGCTCCTCTCTAGAAGTACTCAGCGGCGCTTCCTGAAGCCCACTCGCACCTCTCCGGTCCTCTCCAGCCACCTCTTCCCTCTCCCCAGCCTGAAACATGGCTGACCTTGGCACTCCCAGCTGTCAGTAGCTTCCAGTCCCTTCACGTAAGAACTTCAGATCACTGCATATTACTTCTGTAAACTTTTTCAAAAGATTCGCGCGCGTGCGCGCGTGTGTGTATGTGTGCATTTATTTATACTGTTGCAGGTCTTTAGCCCTATTATGCCACACATAATCTGAACTTCACTTTCAGCCATGGACAAGTGATGTGTCTGTTTTACATCTTCTCCATAGGTAACTGGTGGATGGTATTTACCTTAATTTATCCCCCCCCCCATCTTTGTACATCTCTTTCAAAGAGTTTCCACGTGGGTGGTTATAGAAAACTAAATGACCTAAAACCATCCTCCTCTCTTGATGTCTCCCAGCTGCAGATGGACCTGGAGCAAGAGTATCAAGACAAGTTCAAAAGACTGCCCCTGGAGATCTTGGAGTTTGTGCAGGAAGCCATGAAAGGGAAGATCAGCGAAGACAGCAATCACAGTTCTGCCCCTCCCTCCCTGGCCTCGGAGCCTGGAAAAATGAACCACAAGCCTCCCTCCAGTGAGGAGCTAGAAGGAGACAACCCAGGAAAAGAGTTTGATACTCCTCTGTGATTGTTCCTGCCAGGCCTTCAAAGCATGCATGGCCACTTCATCGGACTCTCTCTTACTACAAAAATCACTGCCCAGGAGCATCTTCCTGAGAAGTATCCCTTAGCCTAAAATCTGCACCAAAGGGAGAGTTCTAGAAGGATCCATGCAAACATCCTCATGCCCAGGCTCCATGCATTATGTGGACACTACTGCAGGTCTGCTTGCGGAGAGTGCATGTATGTGGGATTTTTGTTTTCTTTCCAATAGTAAATTCAAAGCAGGCAACTTCCAGGCTCCATGGGACATTTAATGAAGGACAGTGTCTTTTTTGAAGAAAATCAAGCTCATGTTTTTATTTGAAGCTCTGGTGTAAAGTATTTCAAAGTAATAGAAATAGTTTGAGAAACGCATAGCATTATTTAACACTATCAAACAGCCAACTTTGAGGATTCGTTTTCCTAACTGCCCCTCAACTACCATATCTTCAAGTTAACGTGCATATTAAATTGTTTTATCCTTTGCTTTGCAAGCACTGGTGGCTTGCAGTTTGCTAATTTATTTATCATAGAGGCATCAATGTATTTGTTGCTGACATGGCTTTATTAGATACCATAGTGATTCAACTAAGTTGGTTTTCTTTCTTGAAAAAAAGTCACTTGATTGTATCCTTGCCCAGTGAAGCTATCCCAAGACTTAGCCATATGGCTCATACATTTGGTTGCTTGAGCAAATTGGCCACACAGTTCCAGGCCCACTGTGCTTTCTGAGTTGACTATTTGCACTCAAAGTCTGGGTATTTATTGGTTGTTGGCCTGAAATTATTAAATAACTACGAAGAGTCTGTCTGGTTGAATAAAAATAGTTAAGCTGATGGATGTTGAGCAGAGATTCAATCAGAGTGAACAGGTTCCAGTGGTTATTTCGCTGTCTCACATTTTTTATGGTTCATTTATTTTTACTATAGAGATAAAGATTGAGTATTTATCTAGAGAATACACAGACCCACATATAAATGATATATAGTATCCCCATGTATATATGTACACACACAGCCATGTAAGTGCATACACACTCACACACACACACACACACTCACATGCGCACATACAAGTGTAGATGTGTGTTTTTTAATTGGCAATGACCCAAGTCTCTTCCACAAGACTTAAAACCAAATTCAGGGATAAATGCCTAGAGAAGAAAATGGTCAAACATCTATCTATATTATGTGGCTATTAAATTTTGTTGAAATTCTAAAAAACAGTTGATGGAACTTGATGCAAGTTGAAGTAGATTTAGAGCTTAGAATATGAATTTGATATATATTTTGCAGGATCAAAAACTGGATTTTAAGTATCAGATTTTAAGCTTGTTTTAATAGAATATACAAAAAATGTATAGGACAGCAATATGGAAATTTATTAGTATCTTTCATAATTTTTAAGTCTGACAGATTTCGATTTTATTCTAACATAAACATAAAAAATCTTTCATTATGTATTTACTATGTACATTTAATTCACTTAACTATGTCTTTTTGTTAAGTTTCTGTGTTGGGTGGCATAAGAAAAACAAATTATATCATGGGAAAACTGATCAAAAATATTATTGAAAGAACTTAAGTAAGAGAGAATAATTATATAGAGGAAAATATAATTTAGAGAGTAACACAAAGAACATTGAAGTTAAAGAGCTGAAGAAAGATGCTCACAGCTTTATTTTCCTTTAAGATAAATCTGTCTGATTGTAGCTTAGCGAAACGTCTTAAAATGCAAAAACCAGTTGTGTCCTGAAAATTGTGTCTCAAGAATTTAATATTTTTATGGAAATTATTTTATTTAACTTTAAGCAATAACTAGGGATCACAATTAAGTTTTAATCAAAAAGAAGGCTTAGTTCAAACATGAGGCAAGAGTGTTTGATTAAAAAAAAAAAACACATCTAGCAAGACACAAGGGGAAAAAAATCCCATCCTCTTGGGAGATGATTATATTTTGATCTGAAGGATTTGGGGTATTAATTAGACACTTAATAAAACTTATCTTCCACTGAAAGATAAATCTTTTGTAAATCATTCAACTTTTGCACTTTGAAAGAAAGGCATTAATCGTAAGGAAGCAAGAATGGGCACAATTGAATGCTGCAATTTTATAAATAAAATTACAGACTAACATTGCAGAAGAATGAACGAATAATAACATTCATAACCAAACGCAATGATGATTATTATAGAACACTGTCTCACATTTTAGTCCAGAGATAGACAGAAGTGGGAAAACCTTGACTTACACAAAACTGTTTTTGGTAGTTGGATTTCATTCTCTTAGTGACTCTAGTCATTTTGCAATACACTTGTATTTGGCCATTTACTGTAATCACATTTTTATATCTGTACAATGACACTTTTTGCAGTTGTGGGGTAGTGTGTTACACTGTCCATCTTGCATCATTGAACCTACTACAGCGATACTATCATTTAACAATATTAAGATTACTTGAAATAGAGTAAGATAAAGAAAAAGGGTCTATATGATGTGCAGTTTTGTGCCTTTATGTATTTGCCTTGTTCTGTGTTGAATGTGTGAAATTCTGTACTGTGGTTTTCCCTGTAATAGAGCGTTAGAGGTGTGTAGTAAATTAGACAGAGGCCCCCCCCCCATACCCTTACATTACTGAGAATAGCGTGGTTTTGGCCATGAACGCCAATTTTCAAAATTCTAATGACATGCCGTGTGTTTTTGGTTTTCAGCATTTCACTTGAACATTTCAACCTCACCATACATTAATTGATTAATGCTCCTGTAATAGATAAGCAGTCATTAAATAATTCTGAAAGAAAGGGCCGTTGCTTGCGTTACTTTGAATTTAATGTTGCGCTTGTGCACTGTATAAATATTGTTTGTGATGGATTGGACCTTGTGACTTTTGCCTTTTCAGAAGAAAAATAAAAGATAGGACAAAGTATTTGAAACTCTTAAAGTGTACATATTTTGGTTCTTCAATCTCAAATTATTTAAAATGCGTAATTCACATTTTTGTAATAATTCTATGCAATTTTGTGGCATGATGTTTCTTCCACTTGTAATTTTATGTGCTTTCATCACGAATCCAAAGGAAACAATAAAAATTTCTTAACTCAACCCAGTGTGTCATTTCTTGGTGTCAGAGCCAACCTTTTTTTTTTTTTTTTTTGACAGACCAGATGGTCCGAGTGGTGGGAGTACACTTTGTACCAGTCATTAGGGACAGAAGGCCCACCCTGATACAGCCCACCTGTGCCTGTACAGGGAATGGGATGTGCTGCAATGCATGTGCCAGAGGACACAGCTCTCATTACTCTATCACTCCACTATCCTGTGCAGGAATGATGGTACACCTGCCCATTACTTCCGTTTTAGAAACCCTCCCTCCCTTCCTTCACCAAAGCTAAGGAAAGCAAAACAGTCAAAGTTTGCTAACAAACAGTGGAGATGAACTGACAGAGTACTTGATGTAACTTTTTCTTATGAAACATAAAAAGAGTTTGCAATATTCTTTCTTTCTTTCTTTCTTTCTTTCTTTCTTTCTTTCTTTCTTTCCTTTCTTTCTTTTTAGGGGGGAGGGGCAGGAGGAAAGAGAGAATCTTAAGCAGGTTACTTGCCCAGCACAGGGCTTGATCTCACGACACTGAGATCATGACCTGAGCTGAAATGAAGGGTCAGATGCTTGACTCACAGAGCCTCGCAGGCCCCCTGCAACATTTTTTTTTTTTAAAAAAAGGAATATATGGCCCCGCATCCCCGCAGCAGGCTCCCTGCTCAGCGGGAAGCCTGCTTCTCCCTCCCTCCCTCCCTCACCCACCCCCCCCCGTTTGTGTTCCCTCTCTCGCTATATCTCTCTCTGTCAAATGAATAAAATCTTTAAAAAAAAAAGGAATATACCTGTGAGTTATGAGAATGTCCCGTAGGCACTCTGTATATCCGTTACCTGCTGCTATATTACACATTAGTCCAAAACCCAGTGGCTTAAAACAATGAGAATTATGTCTTATCTCTCATAGTTTTGTAGCTCAAGAATTCAGAGAGGGCAAAGCAGAGATGATACGTCTCTACTCCGCAGTGTCCAGGACCTCGACTGGAAGATTAAGAGGCTGGGGGCTGGAATCCTCTGAAGACTAATTTATTCACATATCTGGTCAACGATGATATGTCAGCTGAGAGACCAGCTGGGCAGCTGGGCTGGAACACCCACTTATGTCCTCCCCACATGGACTGGGCTTTCCCACGACATGGTGGCTGGATTCCAAAGGTGAGCCAGGTAGGGGCTGTCTCCACATTTTTTTTTTTATTAAAGATTTTTATTTATTTATTTATTTGAGACAGAGAATGAGAGATAGAGAGCACGAGAGGGAAGAGGGTCAGAGGGAGAAGCAGACTCCCCGCTGAGCAGGGAGCCTGATGTGGGACTCGATCCCGGGACTCCAGGATCATGACCTGAGCCGAAGGCAGTCGCTTAACCAACTGAGCCACCCAGGCGCCCCTGTCTCCACATTTTTATGACCAAGCCTCAAAGTTACATACTATCACTTATGCAGGACCCCCATTCATTGGTGCTTTCGCAAGCCCCTTCCCAGAGGCAAGAGGAAGGGACAAACATGAGCCCCATCTCACTGTGGCGGTGGATCACACCCAAGAGCATGAGGAGCGGAACAAACATACAGGTGTGGCCTTCTTTGGAAAATACAATCTGCCTGATACAGTATGCCCCAACTGAATGTGTAGTTACACCCAAACCCACTCCACCTCCTTCGTGTTCTACATCAGTGAACAAAATCAGTATCAATTCAGTCACCCAAACCAAAACGTTGGCATCATCTCTGACAGCTCTTTCACCCCCCTTCCAGTGAATCGTGGGTTGGGTCAATTCTGACCCTGTGACAGCCCTCAGATTCATTCACTTTCTGTCCTTTCTGCTAGTCCCTAAATTCAGGCTACCACCTCCTCCCACCTGCCAAGGTTTTCCTAAATAGTCTCCATGCCGCTAGTCCCAAACTGTGCAACTATACTATACTAGACTAGACTGTACCATACTACTATACCATACTCTAGCTAGACCGATCATACAAAAGCAAAAATGGGATTAAAAGTCTTTATTGACCCCAACTGTCCTCAGGCTAAGGTCTAAACTCCTTAATAAATGTTTGCGATCTTACATGATTTGGTTCCTACTTGACTCTCTAACTTCATCTCTCTCTTTTTTTTTAAAGAGAGAAACACAAGTGAGGGAAGGGCCAGAGGGAGATGGAAAAAGAATCTTAAGCAGGCTCCTCACCCAGTGCAGAGCCCGACTCGGGGCTCAGTTTCACAACCCTGAGATCATGACCTGAGCTGAAACCAAGAGTTGGACACTTAACCGACCTAGCCACCCAGGCGCCCCTCTAAATCTGTCTCTTAATACTCCTCTCCCACACCACGTCCCAGCCTTCTGGGCCAGCTTGCTTCCTTGACTTTTTGAATATTAGTCCTTCAACTACTTAGACACTTTCTTTCTGTTTCTCTTTCCCTTGAACCCCTCTTCAAAACACACACACACCCTCAGATTCTCTCTTTTCCCTGGCTAACTCCTATTCATCTTTAGATTTATAGCATAAGTTTTACTTCCTCTAAAAAGCCTTCTTTCATTCACCCAGGTTTTTGCCAGGCTTCATCATCTGTGCTCTCATAGCATCCTATATCAGTTATCTATCACTGCATAACAAATACCACCAAAACTTCGTGTCTTAAACAATCATTTTCATGAGAGACTACGGACTCCGAGAAACAAACTAAGGGTTTTAGCGGGGAGGGCGGTGGGGGGATGGGTGAGCCCGGTGATGGGTATTAAGGAGGGCATGCGCTGCATGGTGCACTGGGCGTTATACACAAACAATGAATCATGGAACACTACATCAAAAACTAATGATGTACTACTGTATGGTGGCTAACATAACATAATAAAATTAAATTAAATTTAAAAAAACAATCATTTTCTATTCTTTGTGAGTCTAGGGGAAGGTGGATGTTTCTGCAGATCTGGGCTGGGTTGA